GCACGATCTTGGGTCACTGCCACCTCTGCCTCCTGGGTTCAAGTGATTCTCCTGCCTCAGCCTCCCTAGTACTTGGGATTACAAGTGCCCACTAATTTTGTATTTTTAGTAGCAATGGGATTTCACCATATTGGCCAAGCTGGTATTGAACTCCTCAGCCTCCCACACTGCTGGGATTACAGGCATAAGTCACCGCACCAGGCCAAATTTATTTTTTAATTCGGTCTCTATATAGACTGTCAAACTATACTGCAAGTTGTCATGATGTGGTATTGGGAAAAGTTTTCAATTAGCAATAATCGTGCCTCGGATAAATACCTCATTGGCTATGACACTGCCACTGCACCAAGATAACTTTTTGTTTTTAAAAAAGTCCAACTATAAGCCTGGGTGCAACAGCTCATGCCTATAATCCCAGCATTTTGGGAGGCCAGTGTGGGAGAATCACTTGAGCTCAGGAATTTGAGGCTATGGTGAGCCTTGATTGCGCTATTGCACTCCAGCCTGTTCAACAGAGACAGACCCTGTCTCACCAAAAGAACCCAACAACTGTAAATATTCTTTTTAATCTCAGAATGCTAAATTAGGGATTATTTCCACTTTAGAAATTAGGAGCCTAAGGAAATTGAGATATTGAAATGACTTGCTTATAGTCATATTCTAAGTTAGTGACAGAAGTAAAGCCTTTTCAAATTGTAAACAATGTATGTCTAAATTGGACACTCCCTTCCTACCCACAACTACTGCTTTCATCACATTACCATGTTTCCTTTCCTTGTAGCACTTAAAACTATGTAAAATAATTGTATTATTTAATACATTATTTTGTCTTTCCCCAATAAAATGTAAACTCCAAGAGAACTTTTTTTGTCCAATACTATAAACTCAATACTAGAACGGTGCCTAATACACACAAGATGTATCCAGAATGAATGAAATCATTATACTAATTCTTTTCTGTTGTTTGTCTTCTTGAAGATGGAATTCCCTTTGATATTTGCTGGGACAGTAACTGAATATAGGTCTGGCACCGTGTGTGTGTGTGTGTGTGTGTGTGTGTGTGTGTGTGTACACTTATTTACTTATGAGATCACCCTGTTGCTCAGGCTGGAGTACAGCAGCCCAAACGAGACTCACTGCAGCCTTGACCTCCAAGACTCAAATGATCCTCCCACTTCTCAGCCTCCTGAGTAGCTGATATGACAGGCACATGCCACCACACCTAGCTCACTTTCAATTTTAGGAGAGACAAGATCTCACTATGTTGCTCAGGCTGGCCTTAAACTCCTGGATTTAAGCAATCCTCCTGCTTCAACCTCCTAAAGCACTTGGGTTACAGGCATGAGTCACCGCACCCAGACTATTTTATTATTTTTACTTTTTGTAGAGAAGGGTCTCGCTATGTTGCCCAGACTGGTCTTCAACTCCTGGCCTTAAGCAATCCTCCTGCTTTGGCCTCCCCCAAGTGCTAAGCTTACAGATGTAAGCCACTGTGCCTGGCCAGGTCTGACTTTATTATATCTCAAATACATCATCACCAATATATCTTCTAAATGGTTAAAAAATGATAAAGATATATATATATATTTTTTTTTGAGACAAAGTCTTGCTCTGTCACCAGGTGCCAGGCTGGAATGCAGTGGCGCAATCTCAGCTCACTGAAGTCTCCACCTCCTGGGTTCAAGCATTCTCCTGCCTCATCCTCCCAAGTATTTGGGACTAAAGGTGCACACCACCATGCCCAGCTAATTTTTGTATTTTTTTTTTTTTTTTTTTTTTTTTGAGACAGAGTTTCGCTCTTGTTACCCAGGCTGGAGTGCAATGGCGCGATCTTGGCTCACCACAACCTCCGCCTCCTGGGTTCAAGCAATTCTCCTGCATCAGCCTCCTGAGTAGCTGGGATTACAGACACACACCACCATGCCCAGCTAATGTTTTGTATTTTTAGTAGAGACAGGGTTTCACCTTGTTGACCAGGATGGTCTCGATCTCTTAACCTCATGATCCACCCGCCTCGGCCTCCCAAAGTGCTGGGATTACAGGCTTGAGCCACCGCGCCCGGCCTTAATTTTTGTATTTTTTAGTAGAGATGGGGTTTCATCATGTTGGCCAGGATGATCTCTTGACCTCGTGATCCGCCTGCCTCGGCCTCCCAAAGCGCTGAGATTACAGGCATGAGCCACCACACCCAGCAATATAAAATAATTTAACAATGGTACATCATGAAAATGTCAATAGATAAATAATTCTATTTAAGGATCCACTTAAAATAATGACTTCAATTTTAAAAAGTTATTAGTAAGTATAAAAAAGTTTCTTCTTAAACAAAAAAATTACAAATTGATCTACTAAATCATGATTTAGATATGGCCAAATTTATGGCATTTGTATGAGAATTAGCATAAAATACAAGACAATCACACAGACTTTAGGAAAGCCTGGGAAAGCTTTATTAGAAGAAATTTTAAAATAATTGGGTGTCCTTTGCCTTAAGATGACTGATTTGAAATTATCTTGGTCGGAATGCTCTGTATTCTTTCTTATGGTCTATCTTCCTTACATTCTTCAGTGCTTGTTTACTTGTAAATCATTAATATTATTGTTACACACCCTAAATGAGATTGAAAGATTTAGTAAGTATTTTCTGAGAAAACGTGTTATATCAGTGATAAAGTAGTACTATGATTTAATCTTTTCTTTAAAATCAGATCAGTAATGTTTTTAAACTTTAACATACTTCAGTACAATCCAGATTTTTTATAGCATTTTTCCTCCAAAAGTATTGCCTACACTATTCACATGGCACTTAACAAACACTATCCCACTTTATTAATATTTTTATGTATGTATTTCTGTCAAATACACAGGCTTTACTCCCATCTATGCTAAACCTTTGTATTCATAGAATGCAGCACAAAGTAGGCACACTTTTCTGTGGCAGAAATAGCGTAAAGTGGCATTCAGAAAACAAGTTCTGCCCCTGAGTTGTGGCCTGAAAACAAATGCTTTACTAACCCTTGGGCACTCAGCTAAATTAGTTTCTAAGGCTTTCATAGCTCTGAGAAGTAAGTCTTCTAATGAGTCAGAATAAAACCTAGGTTTATTACTATTTTTTCTCCTACAAGTATTATTTCTAATCCTCTTGAAATTGAAATGATCAATCAGCTTGCGCATTTATAGCAATTTTTCTAGCTACTCTCCCTTATAATTAGTCTACTCTCATTGCTCAAGAGTATGTCTCTACCACAGCAGGCTGGTATAAGAAATCAAAATATATCTTAAATAAGACTAAAGACTACGTATCCTTAATCCAAAAAATCTGAAATGTGAAATGCTCCAAAACCCAAAACTTTTTAAGCACCCACGTGACATTCAAAAAAATGCTCAGGGCTGGGCAGTGGCTCAGGTCTGTAATCCCAGCACTTTAGGAGGCCGAGACAAGTGGATTACTTGAAGTCAGGTCAAGACCAGTCTGGCCAACATGGCAAAACCTCCTCTCTACACTAAAAATATAAAAAATTAGCTAGGCCTGGTGCTATGGGCCTGTAAACCCAGTTACCCGGGAGGCTGAAGCAGAAGAATTGCTTAAACCTGGGAGGCAGAGGTAGCAGTGAGCTGAGATCATGCCACCGCACTCCGGCATGGATGACAGAGCAAGACTGTGTCTTAAAAAAAAAAAAAAAAAAAAAAGGCTCAGATTTTGGATTTTCAGATTTGGGATCCTCAATAGGACAATGCAAACATTCCAAAATCTGGAGTACTTCTGTTACCAAACATTTTCTTTTCTTTTTTTTTTTTTTTGATACAGAGTTTCGCTCTAGTTACCCAGGCTGGAGTGCAATGGCGCGATCTCGGCTCACCGCAACCTCCGCCTCTTGGGTTCAAGTAATTCTCCTGCCTCAGCCTCCCGAGGAGCTGGGACTACAGGCACGCGCCACCATGCCCAGCTAATTTTTTGTATTTTTAGTAGAGATGGGGTTTCACCATGTTGACCAGGATGGTCTTGATCTCTTGACCTCGTGATCCTCCCGCCTCGGCCTCCCAAAGTGCTGGGATTACAGGTGTGAGCCACTGCGCCTGGCCAAGCATTTTCAAAAAGGGATATTCAACCTGTGTTGGCTACTTCCAACAACACTGAATAGCTTGTTCTACCAATTGTTAGGAAAGCAGGTTATTAAATATAGCTTTTATAAACAGTGTAGACTTCATGTTACCCTTGAGAGCCTGCTGCTTAGAAAGGAGAAAAATATTTTATTCACGTAATACTTTTTTCCCCTTGCTTTCTCCACTATTTGCTGAGTGAAAGTAGTATATCCTAAAGTTACTTAATACAAACCACAGACTATAAATCCAGTGTATCCTTTCTATGTACTGTAGCACTTTGGTTATGTATTGCCTAAGAAGTAAGTTCTTCCAAACATATTACCAAAAACAAACAAAAGACATAACACGTGTACTTGTATTTTCTAGTAGACTAAAAGACATAACATGTGTTGTGTATTTTCTAGCAGACTAAACTAAAATCTTATTAGGATCTGAGTTGCAAAAGTTCATATAGTCAGAATAGCTTAAATTACTTTAAATTACCTAAATGCCTTACTTATACAACCATAAAGCATTATATAGTTTTGTTTAAATGCCATCATGTATTGGATATGTGTTTTTTGTTTATAGAACCCATATTTACAGTCATTTACAATATTTAAGAATACATATGAAAAATATTTCCTTAAAATAACTAAAAAAAAATTTGCGTGTTTAAGAGAAACATCAGCATTGTATAAATTAATGTGCCTTAGTGAAACATGTTCAGCATTGTATAAATGAATGTGCCTTAGTGAAACATGTTTATGATATAATTCCACTAAGAATTAATCTGATAATTAAATATACAATTGTCCTATATAACAAAGAAGGTTTAATAGTAGTAAAAAAAAAAAATACCACTATCTGACAACAGAGCAATAATTTTTAATCCATTGTCAAAAAGAAACGCTTACCTTTCTGGGCTTTAATTGTCTGTTCTTCAATTTGTTTTAGACGTTCCATTAGCTCTTCCTTTTCACGTTCTATTCTTTCCTTTTCCTTTTCTGCTATTTCTCTTTTCTTCTTTTCATTCTCTAATTGTGCCCTTAAAAGAAATTGCAATTGCTGTTACAAATTAATAGACAGAAACATTATTCATGGGATAGAATACTGCTCAGCCATAAAAAGGAACAAAATAATGTCTTTTGCAGCAACCTGGATGAAGCTGGAGGCCATGATTCTAAGTGAAGTAACTCAGAACATATAAATGCAGTATGTTCTCACTTATAAGTGGGAGCTAAGCTATGAGGATGCAAAGACAGAGTGATATGATCGACTTTGAGGACTTGAGAGGGAATGATTGGGAGTGGGGTGAGGAATATAAGACTACATATTGGGAACAGTGTACATTGCTCAAGTGACAGGTCCACTACAGTCTCAGAATTCACCACTGTAGAATCTATTTATGTAACCAAAAATCACCTGTAGCCCCAGAACTATTGAAAAATAATAATAATTAGAAATGTCACTCATATGAAACCTAAGAACTAACTGAATCAACTAAGAAACAACGGCATAAATATTTTAACATCATATTAGCCGGGCGCGGTGGCTCAAGCCTGTAATCCCAGCACTTTGGGAGGCTGAGGCGGGTGGATCACGAGGTCAAGAGATCGAGATCATCCTGGTCAACATGGTGAAACCCCGTCTCTACTAAAGATACAAAAAAAAAAAAAATTAGCTGGGCATGGTGGCCCATGCCTGTAATCCCAGCAACTCAGGAGGCTGAGGAAGGAGAATTGCTTGAACCCAGGAGGCGGAGGTTGCGGTGAGCCGAGATCACGCCATTGCACTCCAGCCTGGGTAACAAGAGCGAAACTCCGTCTCAAAAACAAACAAACAAACAAACAAAAAAAAAAAAAAAACATCATATTACACTTGTGTTGAAAATAGCATGTAGTGGCCGGGCGCGGTGGCTCAAGCCTGTAATCCCAGCACTTTGGGAGGCCGAGGCGGGTGAATCACGAGGTCGAGAGATCGAGACCATCCTGGTCAACATGGCGAAACCCCGTCTCTACTAAAAATACAAAAAAGTAGCTGGGCATGGTGGCTCGTGCCTGTAATCCCAGCTACTCAGGAGGCTGAGGCAGGATAATTGCTTGAACCCAGGAGGCAGAGATTGCGGTGAGCCAAGATCGTGCCATTGCACTCCAGCCTGGGTAACAAGGGCGAAACTCCGTCTCAAAAAAAAAAAAAAAAAAAAAAAAAAAAAAAAAAGAAAATAGCATGTAGTTAAAAATACATGACCATTTATGTACATACATGTGCTGGGTTTCAATGTATTATTTATTGTGGGGTCACAATAAAGACAACTGAGACTATATTTTAAAAATATTGCTGGGCGCGCTGGCTCACGCCTGTAAACACAGCACTTTGGAAGGCCGAGGCCGGTGGATCACAAGGTCAAAAGATCGAGACCATCCTGGTCAACATGGTGAAACCCCGTCTCTATTAAAAATACAAAAAAATTAGCTGGGCATGGTGGCATGTGCCTGTAATCCCAGCTACTCAGGAGGCTGAGGCAGGAGAATTGCCTGAACCCAGGAGGCGGAGGTTGCGGTGAGCCGAGATCGTGCCATTGCACTCCAGCCTGGGTAACAAGAGTGAAACTCCTCAAAAAAAAAAAAAAAAAAAAATTAAATTAAATTAAAAACTTAGACATTTAGGAACATCCACAAAAGATGGGTTTACAAAATGGCTAGTAAAGTGTAACTGTCGAATATATCCCTGGGTACGAAACACATTTATAAGGCACACTGAGGGGGGAAAAATTAGATTTACCATTTGCATGCGGGATGAACTCTGACAACAAATTAAATGTCGGCACCAAAAGAGTTACCCACATAGTTGCCACACCCCAAGAAAATGCCTTCTTTAGATTAATAGGAGCCCTCTGCTGGGAAATAGAGGACTGAAAGGAGCAAACAAAGGCATGTATCTTAAAAACAGGGAGGGCAACAATTTTTAATCACTAAAAATAACGTAATCCAAGTTTAATTTCTCAGGTAGTACCCATTTATGCCTCGATACAAGATGACATTTCAGTTTCACCTCCTCTCACAATTCCATTAGAATGATAGTAGGTGGCTAATGATCTTTAAAAATATCATCAGAACTCAGTGGGGAAAAAAATGCCATGATCATTTAGCTGCATCTGCCATGAGCCTGATGAGAGTGTAACTACTTCTTTCTTCTTTTTTTTTGAGACAGAGTTTTGCTCTTGTTGCCCAGGCTGGAGTACAGTGGTGCTATCTCAGCTCACTGCAACCTCCACCTCCTGGGTTCCAGTGATTCTTATGCCTCTGCCTCCCAAGTAGCTGGGATTACAGGCACCTGCCACCACACCCAGCTAATTTTTGTATTTTTAGTAGAGATGGGGTTTCACCATGTTAGTCAGACTGGTCTTGAACTCCTGACCTCAGGTGATCTACCCACCTAGGCCTCCCAAAGTTCTGGGGTTACAGACCTGAGCCACCACATCTGGCCTAAGAGTGTTTCTTTTAAATACTGCCAAATTCATTCATGAAACATCTACCAAGAGCCTACCATTGGTCAGACTCTATGCTGGGGCCAAAAATATAAAGAGGAATAAAATTCACATGGGGAAACTATTTATCAGACAATGTTTTTTACTTAAGTCGAATCAACATTCAAATCACTATTTTGATAATTTTAAAAATCAGTTATGATTTCATCTCTGAAATTTATCTGAGTATGCTCTAATGTTCCACAAATGGATAGCACTGCCACCTGCTGTCAATTCTGAATTTCAAGTACAAAACCCTGTAGTTTCTCAGCTTGCAGTCTCTGAAAAACTTATCAGCAAAATTTTGCCATCAAAGATTTCTCTTATTTATAAACCTGAACTTTAATAAAATTCCTGCAGCTCCTAGCACCCATCTGTCTCTAAGACAGAAAGAGAGCCCACCTTTGGGGCAAACAGGTGTTGCAAGTCAGCAAGAGGTCAGACACTGATGGTGACCCTCTAGTGTGCCAAGCCAAAACACGAAGGGGTCACCACACCTCACTGCTGGTTTAATGAATCCTTCCCACCCTTTAAGAATCTAGAAACACTAGGCATGGCAGCTCAGGTCTGTGATCCCACCACACTGGGAGGCCAAGGCAGGAAGATTGCTTGAGGTCAGAAGTTCAAGACCAGGGCAACATAAGAAGACCTCATTTCTTCTAAAAATAAAAATAAAAAATTAGCCAGGCATGGTAGTATGTACCCACAGTCCTGGTTACTCAAGGAGGCTAAGGTGAGAGGATCACTTGTGCCCAGGAGGTCAAGGCTGCAGTGAGCTATGATCGTGTCACTGTACTCCAGCCTGGCAGGCAACTGAGCAAGACCCTGTCAAATAAAAAGCAAACTAGAGCCTTGTGGCCATTCATGCAAGGGAAGTTCCATCTCTGTTCTGGAGTTCCCTATGCCTATGAGGTACTTTCTCAACAGCGAGAAGGAAAAGCCAATAACTATTCCTAACCCCAGTACCTAGGCTCACTCTGCAGGACATTAATCTTTTTCAATCCTACTTCAATTTATAAAGCCTATATAGGCAAAGAGATTTAAGGAGTTCTAGAAGTATGAGATGCCTCTGTAAGACATGAGTTTAAGGGAAATTTCTGTTTCCCAATCTCTCTGGGCAAAAGAAAGGCCTCATGGCCCCCACAGTGGCGGCTGACCTTTCTGTGTTCTTTAGATAGCTAAATAGCAGGTTCTGTATGAAAGCACAAGAAGCAAAAGCACAGTACTTTCCAAGTAATTGCTAGTATGGCCAAAAGCTATTCTTTTCCATGCCAGGTTGTCTGCACCCTAGGATGTTGACTACCCAACCACTCCCCGGCCTCTGTGCAATCACATCCAGTGCTGCCACCCAAGCCAACTACCTTCCTCCCTCCTTCCCCAAGGTCCCAAGACAATTCTCAAGGACTTCCACTGCAAACCAGATCTCAACCAGAAGGCTACCATCATATTCCACCAATAAGAGCCTTTCAGATCCAGCTCTGGCATAAATGGCCCCTTCTGGAGACGGATGTGCTGATTTTATTTAGCTTTTCCCTATCGCTATTTTTTGTTCTTTTTGAGGGATAGAGGTGAAGGAGATATGGAAGCAGAAAAACAGACTCAAGATAATCCAGCCACAAGCAAGTTGAGAGGGGTGGGGAATGGTCTTCCTACTGAAAAATGGAGTAAGTATACAGCAGATATTTAACCTGATTATAGTATTTAAAACATGTTATACTTTACTGTAATTTGTGAGGCTCAAAGCTCACATTTTATAAGAATCCTACCCTGACGATAGCCAACTCCAGCCAACACTTCATTCAAATAATACAAATGCCTTCAGTCCTTTACATCACTCAGTGGTATCTAGTTTTTACAGGCCTATCTTGTCTCCTTTATGAAACTAGAGGATCTTGCTGCTCCCCCAAATGCTATTCACTTGAGAGGGCCTCACTGGCCCATAGGCACACCACACGTACTTTTATCTCTACATTTTCGTTTATGTTGGCTGCTGCTTCTGAACATATATTGCCCTCTCTCTAACCTTCAAGCCTTAGTACCACTTAGTCTCACTTTCCTCACGAAGTCTTTTGTGATCACTGTAACAATACACGCAGATATTTTTATTTGGAGTTTGGGTTTGGAAACACTCATTTCAACACAGTTGTTCTATTTCAAGGACATAAATATTATTTAAAAAACTATTAGGCCGGGCGCGGTGGCTCACGCCTGTAATCCCAGCACTTTGGGAGGTCGAGGCGGGTGGATCACGAGGTCAAGAGATCAAGACCATCCTGGTCAACATGGTGAAACCCCGTCTCTACTAAAAATACAAAAATTAGCTGGGCATGGTGGTGCACGCCTGTAGTCCCAGCTACAAGGGAGGCTGAGGCAGGAGAATTGCTTGAACCCAGGAGGCGGAGGTTGCGGTGAGCCGAGATCGCGCCATTGCACTCCAGCCTGGGTAACAAGAGCGAAACCCCGTCTCAAAAAAAAAAAAAGGCCGGGCGCGGTGGCTCAAGCCTGTAATCCCAGCACTTTGGGAGGCCGAGGCGGGTGGATCACAAGGTCAAGGGATCGAGACCATCCTGGTCAACATGGTGAAACCCCGTCTCTACTAAAAATACAAAAAAAAAAATTAGCTGGGCATGGTGGTGCGTGTGCCTGTAATCCCAGCTACTCAGGAGGCTGAGACGGGAAAACTGCCTGAACCCAGGAGGCGGAGGTTGCGGTGAGCCAAGATTGCGCCATTGCACTCCAGCCTGGGTAACAAGAGCGAAACTCTGTCTCAAAAAAAAAAAACCAAAAAACCAAAAAAAACAAAAAAAACAAACAAACAAAAACTATTATTCCCTATATTCATATGCAAAAAATTACTTTAGAATATCTTACTTTTCAAAGAATATCAATGGGTCCAATTACATTTTTCTTCATTGAATATTAAAAACATATTCAACTTAGTTTATAATACTATTAGAAATTATTATAATGGCTATTGTTTATTAAGTGCCAGGTATTTTGCTAAATGTCTGTATACAACTATCATGCTTTCTTACAAAAACTCTTGAAGAATATTATTTTTATATTAAAAGCAAGGAAACACAAGCTCAAAATTATCTGTTTGATGACTGTTAGAAGAAGTTTCAAATCCAGATTTATCTAGTTTCAAAGCCTGTGTTCCTCGTATGACACTAGCCAGCCTCGATACAGAATCTCCCATAGATAAGCTACAATTGGCACATGGATATGTAACTCTAAGCTGTAAACTTGGGGCTTACAGTTTTTACATGTGGAAACAATTTTAGCCATACAAAAAAGTGCAAAAATTATGAGTTATAATTCAATTTGGATGCAAATAATTTAAGAGTAAACACTATAAGGAATAACCACCCATAGTGTATAAGGTCATCTTCCTTGCCAAAAACCCCCAAAGTTATGAAAATTATGTGGAGTAAATATAGCCAAACATACCAAAGTACTATAGGGAAAGAGGTCTCTTTACTACTCTTTCCCAATGACTGTTGTTGCCCAAGAAAGTCCAGCAGCACAGGCAGCATACCTCTGAGCATTCTCCCAGGTATGTCTGCTGGCTGCTTTGCCAATGGGCTTAATCAAAATTGTTTCCACACATACAGCTGCCATTTCTCTCTCTCTGATCTGTAAAGCAGGGAATAAATGACTCAGTATGCCATTTCTGAAAGACTGCCAATCCCTAGGTGACTAGAATAATGTATCTTCCAGGCATTCAAACTAAATAAGTCACTGAACTCCTACTGAGTATAAAGCAGACAACTGTTTACTAACGAAGAGCTATAAAATTTATCCAGAACTATGTATTATTGTGCCAAAAAAGAAACTTAAGTCTTCCACTTCCATCTAGGCCCTAGAGTAACTAAAATACAGCACCATTACCAAATGATACCAAGTAAACACACTACCTGTACTAGCAGCCATACAGTACTCCTCTATAAGCCATGAAATAAAGGACATATAGACAAATATATTAGGTTGAGAATGTAAATAACGTATCAGCATTATGAATGAGCAGAACAGTTAGGCATAATACAGAATGATGAGTGTGAGATACAGAACTGTACATAAAGGAATTCTTCATCTATCTCATGCTAGAGGACCTTGAAGAGATAGTGAAAGCTTTAAGATGATTTTTAAAATTAAGTAGAAACTAAAGAAGTCTTCCCTTTGACAGAGGCAAATGCAAATCTATGATGGATAAGAATGTACTGTATAGAAAGTAAAGCCCAATAAAGATTATTTTTAGTGGCGCGTGCCTATAATCCCAGCTACTCAGGAGGCTGAGGCAGGAGAATTGCCTGAACCCAGGAGGCGGAGGTTGCGGTGAGCCGAGATCGCGCCATTGCACTCCAGCCTGGGTAACAAGAGCGAAACTCCGCCTCAAAAAAAAAAAAAAGATTATTTTTAAAAAGCATTTAATAGCCGGGCGGATCTCGAGGTCAAGAGATCAAGACCATCCTGGCCAATATGGTGAAACCCCGTCTCTACTGAAAATACAAAAAGTTAGCTGGGCATGGTGGTGCATGCCTGTAATCCCAGCTACTCAGGAGGCTGAGGCAGGAGAATTGCTTGAACCCAGGAGGCGGAGGTTGCGGTGAGCCGAGATCGCACCATTGCACTTCAGCCTGGGTAACAAGAGCGACACTCTGTCTCAAAAAAAAAAAAAAAAAAAAAGAGAGAGAAGGTCTTACTATGTTGCATGTTGCCTGTTGCCCTGATTGTCTTCAAACTCCTGCACTCAAGCAATTCTCCTGGCTTAGCCTCCCAAGTAGCCGGGACTACAGGCACATACCACTGTGCTCAGCTCACCAACTTTAATGGTGGGATCAGTAATTACTGACAAGCTTTATACCCATATAAAAAATGTTTTGTTACGTGGTTAACCTCTCTAAGGCAGGTAATTTGAGTTAATATTACAAAATAAGTAAAAATCAACAAAATCCCTTAATTACATAGAACAGCCGTTGAATAAGAAAAAAACCATTCAACAGAAAAAATAAAAATATAGTAGCAAAATGATATCTGGCAGATGGCTTCCTTAATTACTAGATATAAAGTACCTTGTATCTAGCATTTAAAATATTTATGTTTTAAGGACCTACTCTATTTCTTAGACTATCATGTTGTTCCATAAAAATTTATTCAATAAAAGTTAACCTTAGTTTGGCCTCCATTATTTTTTCGAGTAAAGCAAAAAGTTGAAATTAATCTAAAATCAGATTTAGAAATTAATACTATTGGACCCAATAATCTGATTCCAGGGTTGATACAAATTTTTATTCACTATCATTCCATTTTTAAAATTCTCAATGTAACATATTTAACATTTTCTTTTTTAAGTCAAAGAGAAACACAATTAAAAAGATTAGGGTCTTTGACATTATCCTACTTGGCAAAGTGATGTTTCAGTTGTGTACTACAATGTCACTGACAGTTTCCAAGTTAAATATTCAGCACATTCTTACCCTGAAAAAATTAGTATGTCACAAGTAAAACAATTTTGAAAATTTCAAACTACTATATCTAAAACAATGTCTATCAGTAAAAAGCAAGTAATACATCACAAAAAGCTATTTTCTCCGAGATACCTGTCAAAGACTTCTAACTTGAAAATTATACATACTCACTTTAAAGAAGGATAGAGTGATAATACTGTCTTTGAATTTTAATACAATGAAAATATTTAAAAATACAAACGTAAGGTATATTTAAAAAACTGAGCAGTCTTAAATTTTAGATAACCTACTCCTATCAATTAAAAAGTCATAAATTCCATACCTTTCCAACTGCCTCTGATGTTTCTCCTCCCTAGCCTGAGCCTTCATCTGTTGTACTTCAATAGTATCAGGCTTCCTTCTTCGCATGTATAGTTCATGGTTTCCCATACATAAGGCCAAAATCCGCTTATTGATTCTCAGACGAGGTGCATAAAAAACAAAATCCTAAACATAAAGTATTCAGAATTTACAATCTTCCTGAGGGATACTGTCTCTCACAATAATCCGTACTAAATTTTAACATGAGGTATGAATTTGAATGTCATATAACATATAGTTTAGAAACCATACAATTTTATAACTCCCAGTGAGGATGACATACTTCCACATAACTGGTTCCTTATCTTTCGTATCCTACCAGTTTTGTAGAGGCTAATATTCTTATCTTTGTAATACATTAAATGTCATTTATTCCCTTTTGCTCTCCAAAGTAACTATGATCTGTATAAAGTTCCTTATAAGCCATCTGCCATTAATGTCAAAACTGGTTCTCTGTTCATGGCTGTAGAGTTTTTTTTTTAACCTAGAATTGTTTGGGGTTTTTTGAGACAGTGTCTTGCTGTCACCCAGGTGGGAGTGCAGTGTGCAATCTCGGCACACTCCAACCTCTGCCTCCTGGGGTCAAGCAACTCTCATGCCTCAGCCTCCCGAGCAGCTGAGATTACAGGCATGCACTACCACATCTGGCTAATATTTGTATTTTCAGTAGAGATGAGGCTTTACCATGTTGGCCAGGCTGGTCTCGAACTGCTCACCTCAGGTGATCTGCCTCCCTCAAGCCTCCCAAAGAGCCAGGATTATAGGCCTGAGCCACCATGCCTGGCCTGTTCTCCTTATCTTTGATCTTTCCAGTAACTAACAGATTTAGGATACTAGAGTATATTTGACATTAGTGGAACTTTAAAAATCTATTTAAATAAAAAGATTTCTTAAGTTCAAGGCTTCAAGTTACAAAAATACAAAGTTCATAATGCAAAACTGTATAATTAACGCTATTCTAAAACGTTAATTTAGAATAGAGCTACCTCTACTGCATTCTAGCCATCAGTGAAGAAACGTTTTAAAACGGTGATTGCTAGGCCGGGCGCGGTGGCTCAAGCCTGTAATCTCAGCACTTTGGGCGGCCGAGGCGGGTGGATCATGAGATCAAGAGATTGAGACCATCCTGGTCAACATGGTGAAACCCCGTCACTACTAAAAATACAAAAAATAAGCTAGGCATGGTGGCGCGTGCCTGTAATCCCAGCTACTCAGGAGGCTGCGGCAGGAGAATTGCCTGAACCCAGGAGGCAGAGGTTGCGGTGAGCCGAGATCGCGCCATTGCACTCCAGCCTGGGTAACAGAAGTGAAACTCTGTCTCAAAAAAAACAAAACAAAACAAAAAAAAGGTGATTGTTTTACTAACCTCCTAATATATATTGTCTATCTCATAACTGAATTTCAAACAAAATTCTAATATTTACAGCTTACTTTAAAAATTAAACTTTGGATTTTTATTAACATATATTATTTAATCACTGGGAGAGCTGACCTATGGAAAGAGAAAGTTCCTCAAAGCAAATAATAAAAGAACCATGTTATTCTTCAAATGATATCATAGGAAAGTAGCAGATACACAGTTCATACACAAAACATTTAATAAATTACTTACAGGTGCCTTTTTGTCGATTGGCTTTATAACAAATTTTTTGTCATTAAATGAAATATTTCTGATTTCGCTCCAGGGAAAACCAATTTTAGGTGTTAACCTTAAAAAATGAGAACATCTCCTTAATTAAAGGCAGGAACCAATGAACAAATTTCCTAACTACTTAGGGTCTAAACTGGCTGAATGACCAATCTTAAGAGTTCCAGATTTTAAAAATGTATTAACTTATTCATAACTACAGTTGACCTTATTTTTTAAGGGGAAAATTGATAAATCACGTAAAACAAATAATTGTCCAAAGATTTCATAAATACGTCATGAACCTTAAAAGTATTACAGTTATTTTCTTAAAATTATCTTGAAAAACCACCTGGTGACCCTAGTGTAGAACTGAGCCTCTTGGGGTTTGCACTAGCTATTTAGTTTTTATTCTGTTTGGATTCAAGCTACAATTACCGTTTAAATATGCATAAGAAGTGGGGGGAAAGGCCCTTGTAACTTCTCATGTGAATTACTGGCAAGTTACTGAAGATTAAAAAAAAAAAAAAAACAGTACTTCCTTCCTGTGTTTGATTTGAATATGTCTGAATATTCATGAATATACTAAAAATACTTATTTCAGTATATTTTAAAAGAATTTTATGGTATATGAATTATATGTCAACTTAAAAATTTTAAACAGTCACACAAATATTTGGATAAATGGTCAAGATGGAATTCAAACTCTTGAGACTATACAGCAGTTACCTCCTTTTTACCACCCTAAAGATATAGGGAATCAAATTGGAATAAGTAATTTTGTTTCTGCCTTTTCATGCATTTTACTGTTTCAGACTATCCATCACATGCATCACTATTGTCCTATTGTCCTAATAACTACAACTGAGAAATGATTTTGACACCTATACTGGCCAGAAGACATCTTTTAGCCAGGCTTCTGACAACACAGCATGAATTTCTACCTATTTATGCTGCTTTTAGTTCTCAAGCTGAGTAGGTACTGCAGAACAGCAGTCTTTTCTACATAAAACATTCTTTTTTTTTTTATTCTTTGTCCCTCTAGAGAAAAACATTCTTTAGTCAATATGCACGTGTTATACTGCCCTCTAATGGCCCTTGATATCAGCATAACCTGCTTAAAACAGAGACTGCAGGAATGTAACATAGTATTTTATGCTATATTTACATACTACTTCAAAAAATTCGAAAGCAATTGCCTCATATAATTCTCACAACAATCTTGTGAGGTAAGCCTGGAAGCTAATACAATAACTTTTTAAAAATTAAAAAAAAATTGCTCCAATATATGCCTGAACAACAACAAAAAATGAAGAAGCCAGGCACCGTGGCTCACGCCTGTAATCTCAGCACTGGAGAAGGCAGAGGCGGGAGGATCACTAGAGGCCAGGAGTTCAAGGCCAGCCTGGGCAATACAGCAAGATCCCATTCTCTAAAACAAAAAAGACAAAAAATCAGTCCACAAAAATTAGTCTTGAAGTCGTTTTTGCTTTCCAAAACCTTCTCTTCTGAATGACATACATTCTAATTTGCTTTGTAATGAAAACATGAGACGATATTAGGGTAAAAGTAGTAAAATGCTTATTTGGAATCACATATGCTTTGAAATTAATGTTTTATTAGATACTTGTAATAATAAAAATTAAAATTCTGGAGCCAACCTAGAATAAATAATGTCTTAGGAAAAGGCATTAATTACTGGCATAGACTTGGATGCTTATGTGGTATGGTCAAGAAAGTCTAAGACAACTGGAGTTATTAATCCTGAAAAGTCTTGTAAGAGTCTGGTATATTTTATATTGCATGTATATGTTTATAATATACTGTTTCTATGTAGTATTCACCCATGTATTTATATAGTACATATACAATGTGCAGATGTAAACATACATATATTATACATATGTATAATAAAATATTGATGAATTAGATATGTATAATAAAAAATATTTGGTCAATTTCAAAATATAATTGTACTGTTCAATATGCATAATATAGGGATATTCTATTGTATTAATGTCCAAATATATTCAAAACAATTCCTATATATGTTCAAAAAAACATCCTCTAAGCTATAATAGACATATTTTTAATTTCATTCTCTCATTGCTCTTGATTTCTTATATATGTTCATTTCAATTTCAACCTATTGGTCAAGCATAATAGCATTTTACAGAATTATTCCTCACCTATCGAGGGAACAAATTTTAATTAAGTTACTAGACATAACTCACAAGAGCTAATGCAGCATAATTCAAATAAAAGAAAATCACCTCATTTGATAAATACACTGAAAAGTAGAACTCTGCAACTGCAGGGTGATAAGAACATGGAGATAAAATATCTACAAGTCTATGTGGCATAAACTATTCTCTTAGTTTGAAAATAGTAGTAAGAGTAATCAAGACAAGAAAATACTCTGACAAACAGGACAGAAGATTAAAGTCATTTAGACCACTGAACAATGACTAGTTCACTATGCAACTAATTTACTTACTTGTCATCATGCTCATAAATATTCAGACCCAAAGCATCAACACCTAGCCACAGTTCAGTTCCCTTTTTATTTTTTATTTCAAAATAGTTGACTCCATACATTTCTAGATCTTGTGCAATCTTCAGGTATTCCATCATAGAATCCTCCCTGTTGAAATAAAACTAAATGTAACATATTTAAGTAGGAACATATCAAACTAAAATTACAAAAATACCTTGAATTAAAAATTAGTGCTTTACATAAGTCAAATAATCTTTTGCAAATAATGTAATAATAAATGTTATGCATAAAAATACATTTTAGGGGGAAAAAAAAAACATACAAAATAACTACCCAAATACCTTAACATTCCTCTATGTTCTTCATGCCAGTTCTGTATTCTTTCTTCCCACTGTTCTTTTGTTAGTTTGTGTTGTTCCAATACACTAAAAAAAAAAAAAAAAAAAAACAAAATATAATGTCTTTATGATTCAAAATCATACACTTTAAAAGTATAAAATCCTTTCAGTAACTCGACTATGGGAGTTGTCAGACAAATTAATACACATGATGAAATTGCTTAGAACACACAAAAAATGAATGCAGGTAAAACTGATGCAATCTGAATAAGGTGGCTAGACTGTACCAATGTCAATATCTTGTTTGTAATATTGTACTGTAGTTACACAAGATGTTACCATTAGGGAAGGCTGAGAGGAGGATACCAGGGATCAATCTTATTTTTTACAATTGCATCAGAATAATCAATAATTCTCTCAGTCTAGGATGCCTAAATTCTTTGAAATAATACATGCTCCAAAAAGTTACTACCAAGATAGCTTACAGGAACCCAAATATTTCAAAGGAATAAAACATTAGATCAAAAAATGGCTCACTGTTAATACAAAAATTAAAGACCAGATTGAAACCAGAATTCTTGGGCCCTAATTCTTCCTTCATGTATTTGTATTTACTTTTTTGCCTCTTAATTTTTTTTTTTTTTTTGGAGATGGAGTTTCGCTCTTGTTACCCAGGCTGGAGTGCAATGGCACAATCTTGGCTCACCGCAACCTCCGCCTCCTGGGTTCAGGCAATTCTCCTGCCTCAGCCTCCTGAGTAGCTGGGAATACAGGCATGTGCCACCATGCCCAGCTAATTTTTTGTATTTTTAGTAGAGACGGGGTTTCACCATGTTGACCGGGATGGTCTCGATCTCTTGACCTCGTGATCCACCCACCTCGGCCTCCCAAAGTGCTGGGATTACAGGCTTGAGCCACCGCGCCCGGCCCTTAATTTTGTTTTATGTAGGTAATACTTTCAGTTAAATAAAAAGTACAGTGAAAAGTCATACTCTAATCCAATACTCTCCAAATGAGTTGTTTTTGTATCCTTCCAGTGTTCTTAATTCAAATGTGAACAAATACATTCTTTTTTTTTTTTTTTTTTTTTTTGAGATGGAGTGTCACTCCGTTGCCCAGCCCGGAGTACAGCGGCACAATCTCGGCTCACTGCAACCTCTGCTTCCTGAGTTCAAGTGATTCTCCTATCTCAGCCTCCAGAGTAGCTGGGATTACAGGTGTGCACCACAATGCCTGGCTAATTTTTTTTTTTCTTTTTCTTTTTGTGTCTTTAGTAGAGATGGGGTTTCACCATGTTGGCCAGGCTAGTCTCGAATTCCTGACTCAAGTGATCTGCCTGCCTTGGCCTCCCAAAGTGCTGGGACTACAGGCATGAGCCACCAGGCCCAGCCAAACACAAACATTAGGTTCTACTACTACTATTTTAACACCAAATCAGCAAAGTCATGTTTATAAGTTACCTACTATGCACACTACAGATCATAATTTCTATTCTCTTTGGCTCATGTGACACTCACCTTTATTTACCAGATCCTCCTTTACTGATAGAAAGCTGTAGTGTTAAAATACTACTGTTTTGCTATATAAAAAATCTTGCATGAAATCCAGGGATTTCTTGGCAGTATAAAGTAATCATAAAATCTCCCCTTGGACACATTACATACCACTTAGAATAGATTTCTTAACGAGGTCTGAGACATACCATTATGTTCTTATTATACTCTGCTCCTTTCTCTAGGCATCTTTTTCAAGCTCTTGCTTTGGGGGAGAAGCTCTTCCTTCTTAGAGAGTTTAAGTTTTCAGTTTCTTGTCTTTCTTGCTGTCTGGCCTCTGGGCTCACAGACAGGCACGCAATCAGCCTTGGTGACATAACCCAGTGTAGTCGACTGCTCAGTATAATTATATGCCCAATGCCAGTACTAAAGAGGGCCTCAAAAATTTGCAGAATGAATAAAAGAATTAAGAGAGTCAATTTTTCCCAATCCTTTTTCTTTTTCAGAGCCAACTTTCTTTTATGGGCTGTCCATTATACACTAACCTCAATTTTCATAACTGACATCCACTGCCTCCAATCTATTCAATCTGGTTCAAACATCCAATACTCTATAAAGACTGCTCTTCTATGGTCACCATTTATCTCCTTTTTTTTTGTTTTGCTTTTTTGAGATGGAGTCTTACTTTTGTCGCCTGGGCTGGAGTGCAATGAAGTGATCTCAGCTCACTGCAACCTCTGCCACAGGTTCCAGCAATTCTCCTGCCTCAGCCTCCCCAGTAGCTGAGATTACAGGCACCTGCCACCACACCCGACTAATTTTTGTATTTTTAGTAGAGATGGGGTTTCATCATGTTGGCCAGGCTGGTCTTGAACTCCTGACCTCACGTGATCTACCCACCTCAGCCTCCCAAGTGCTGAGATTACAGACGTGAGCCACCACGCCCGGCCCCAATTTCCTTACTCCAACACTTTAGCTCTCCTCATACTTGACCTCTTGGAAATATTTGGCAGTGCTGATCATTCTCTCCATAAATTATTCTTTTAACTTGGTTTCCATGACATAATACTCTTCTGGAAGTATTCTTGTTTTTCGAGACAGAGTCTCGCTCCGTCACCCAAGCTGGAGTGCAGTGGTGCCATGTTGGTTCACTGCAACCTCCACCTCCAGGGTTCTAGTGATTTTCCTGTCTCAGCTTTCCAAGCAGCTGGCATTAAAAGCATGCGCCACCACGCCCAGCCATCTTCTGGTATTATTATTGAATCTCTGACCATTTTGTCTTAGTACAGTTGTCCCTCCACATCTATAAAGGATTGGTTCCAGGACTCCCTATGGATACCAAAAACTGTGGATGCTCACTTCCCTGATATAAAATGGTGTAATAGTTGCATATAACCTATGCACATCCTCTTGTATATTTTCAATCATCTCTAGGTGAATAATATCTAACACACTACAAATGTTTTGTATTGTTATCCTGTACTTTTAAATTTTTTATTTTTTTTATTGTTGTGCTATTTCATTTTTTCAAATATTTTCAATTTGTGGTTGGTTGATTCTGTGAATGCAGAATCCACAGACAAAAGCTGAGGTACAACAAGGTCTACCCTAGGTCTTTTTCTCATTTTATAGTACTTACAGGTTGATCTCTTTCATTCTCATGGGTTAATCATCATCTATTCACTGATTACTCCCAAAACTGTATCTGTAGTCCAAGACTATTCTAAAAGGTCTGGACCCACATATGCATATAAATAATAGATACCTCTCTTGGTTATACTATACATATTTCAAACTCAATAGGTTCAAAACTGAATTCATCTTCCCCCTCAAATATATTTTTTCTTCCTCTCATTTTGATAAAAGGTATTACCAAACACACAGCTGCCCAAGTCAGAAACCTGGTATGCAAAAATTTATGTGTATCTAGCTCTTTTTCAAGAAAAGCAAGTACTATCTGGTGGAGCTAATTATCTACACCACGAGAACTAAATTTTTCTACAATAAGAACGGATTACTAATTTGGGTTTTTCAATACAAGAAATCAGAACCACTGAATTATTTTATTTAATTTGTCATTACCAAATAACCTAATTACTCATTTACTCCCCAGGCCGTACTTAAGATACTGAGAAAAAGTGTGCTATATACCATACTGGAGTAAGACAATCACTGTAAAAATATCCTCTCTGTTCTAAACAGAAAAAAAACACGTATCTGATTTTATGACTAAGTCTCATTTAAGATTAAAATAGCTTGAATCAGTCCTTCATGGAGTATCAACTCTGAAAGAACAACTTACACAAAATTAAGGAAGAAATCTTGAAATGGGCATTTGCACTAGCAACCACAAGCAACCCTATCTAAAGAATTTAGCCACCTTCCTTGTTTTTAAACAGTGAGATAGAGCACACATGTATTTAAAATAAACTATGCTTGAGTGTGATTCTAGTGTTTAAAGGATTTTTTCATCACATGCCAATTACTTCATCTGCTGCTCAACCAAACAACAATCCGGTTTGACAGTGAAAGATCGATACTGTACTTGTTTAGATAAACCATTCTTATTCTTTAACATTAAAAAAAAAATTAAAGTAATTCTGATTATAAAGCAAAAGGTAATCCTTACATGAAATGAAATTCCACCATAATAGTCTGATTACTGAATTACATGCTTTAAATCTAAGACGAAGGATGTTAGGTTAGAATAACATTCAAAACCAGAAGAATATAAATAGACTATCAAATATCTCATATTCCTGATTCTCTTCGTGAACAACTTAGATGATTCTATCCTCTTCCAAGGTGACTACTATTGCTACAAAATTACATAGCAGAACACTATAACATTTAATAATCAAATTTTGGCCAGGCATGGTGGCTCATGCCTGTAATCCCAACACTCTGGGATGCTGAGGCAGGTGGATCATTTGAGATCAGAAGTTTGAGATCAGCCTGGCCAACATGACAAAACCCCATCTCTACTAAAAATACAAAAACTAGCCAGGAATGGTGGCACCTGTAATCCCAGCTACTCGGGAAGCTGAGGCAGGAGAACTGCTTGAACCCGGGAGGTGGAGGGTGCAGTAAGCCAAGATCGTGACACTACACTCCAGCCCAGGCAAGACAGCAAGACTCCGTCTCAAAACAAAAATCAAATTTTAAAGTTACTGTACTTGTGGCCCCCTATAAAGCACATATTAAAAGATAATATAGGCCGGCCGGGCGCGGTGGCTCAAGCTTGTAATCCCAGCACTTTGGGAGGCCGAGGCGGGTGGATCACGAGGTCGAGAGATTGAGACCATCCTGGTCAACATGGTGAAACCCCGTCTCTACTAAAAATACAAAAAAAAAATTAGCTGGGCATGGTGGCATGTGCCTGTAATCCCAGCTACTCAGGAGGCTGAGGCAGGAGAATTGCCTGAACCCAGAAGGCGGAGGTTGCGGTGAGCCGAGATCGCGCCATTGCACTCCAGCCTGGGTAACAAGAGCGAAATTCCGTCTCAAAAAAAAAAAAAAAAAAAGATAATATAGGCCGGACGCGGTGGCTCACGCCTGTAATCCCAGCACTTTGGGAGGCCGAGGCGGGTGGAT